AAATGCTGAAATGGAGGAAGACAAACACGTCTACAAGGGCAGAGTGGTCTATCGTGGAGACGCCACGAAGGATGAACAAGGGTTGCCGGCGTTGTTTCGTGAGTTGCACTCGCTCCCGACAAACATGCAGGCAATAAACTTGACTCTCTTCCTCGGCTTGTGTTCGGGCTTTCTCGTGCAGGCTGCTGATGCTTGCCAAGCTTTTCTGCAGGCTCCACTGCGTTCTCCGGTTCCCACTTACGTAGTGTTGCCTTCCGAGTTATGGCTTCCTCAGTGGAGGGGTCGGTTCAAAAGAGTCGCTGTCAAACTCAAACGGGCACTCTACGGCCACCCAGAAGCTCCAGCTGAGTGGCAAGCCTACCTTGAGAATGTCCTGAAGACAGTGCTACTTGCTGTCGCAGTCGAAGGGTTTCCGTCCGTTTTCTGGCTTCCGACACTCTGCGTCTTAGTCACGATTTATGTTGATGATATACTCGCAGCCGGCAAGGCCGAGGGCCTGAAGAGCTTCTGGTCGCAGTTGCGTAAGCACATAGATCTTGACGAAGTGACTTCTGTGGAGAGGTTTCTGGGTCGCTACCACTTGTTTTCAGAAGACGGAACAACGGTGTACATGCAGATGTCTGCATACGCACAGCAGGCAATCGATCTGTACCTCTCTCTGCCCGGGGCTGTGCCTTTGAAGTCGGCAACCACGCCTTACGTAGCTGAGGGAAGCCTTCCTCTTGAAGACTTTGAAGTGAGAGGAGCTCTGGCCGATTCCTCTGCAAAAATATTGATGAAGCTACTTTGGCTCTCGCGGTTATGTCGACCAGATTTGGCACATGTCATTTCAATGCTTGCGGTGCAGTCCAACACGTGGAGTCGTAATGCAGACAAGCAGGTGCATCGCTTGCTTTGCTATCTGCAGAGCACAGCTGACTACTCTCTGAGAGGAATCGTGAGGGACCCACTGCACAGCTGCTGGATTGATCTGTATTGCGACGCAGACTTGGGCGGTTGCATCCACACGTCCAAGTCAACAAGCGGCCTTTGGCTTCAAGTGAGCGGCCACAACGGGACCCAGTTCCCGATAACCTGGGCCAGTCGTCGCCAAGGCGCCGTTAGTCGCTCCACTACAGAGGCCGAACTTGTGGCGCTTGCGGATGGACTTTTCACTGAAGCACTTCCGGTTCAAGACTTGCTCAGTAAGGTGTGTGGACAAACAATACCCATCCGTATCCGTGAGGACAACGAATCGGCAATAAAAGTCTTGAAGGCAGGATACTCGGTAAAGCTGAGGGGTTTAGTCAGGACTCAACGCCTTTCCATCGCATCAATCTCTGATCATTTGAAGAGTCATGCAGACGAGATCAGTCTGGAGTACACTTCTACTAAAGATCAATTAGGGGATCTCTTCACCAAGGTTCTGTCTAGACTGCCTTTTGAAGAGCTTGTTGCGAAGCTGGGTCTTGCGAGAGCCCCAACACCAAGGTCCTGAACCCCAAAGTGCCGTTAGGTCAGCGCGCCGCGCGACTAATGTGCACCGAAGGGACGTTGGACGTTGTTTTTACTAAGGTCCTTACCGCATTTTGCGGTTGCTAAGGTCGTAGTGTGCCTCCTCGTCACAGTTAGACCTGCGCGTCGCGCGGCTAACTGAAGGGCTCTTAACTCTTGACCTGCGCGTCGCGCGGTAGGAGAAAGAGCATCTTAGGACGTGGGACTACTGCGGCTTTGGCGTCGGGCGGCAGCTGCAGCGGCCGTGGAGCGGCTGAGCACTGCTGGCTGACGAGTGAAAGAGTGACGAGGCTGCGTAGGCTTCTAAGTCTCCGACTTTTCTTGTGTACCTGTAACATAAGATATGAGCCTTGCCGTCACGTGAAAACGTGTACCTTCATCCCATCGGCGGGTGGTGGTGGGCTTGTACAGTGCACGCGGGATGAGGGTCCACTCTGGTCTCTCATCTACCGCAAGGATCATATCGCGAAATCTCCAACTCGACACGTCGTGAGGGGGGACGAAATGTTCCTGGAACGATGTGTGCGATGTACAGCAGTACACAACGGGTCGACTTTGGCTCAAGTAAAAGGGTGCATCTATGCTATGCTATGCTATGCTCTCGGCGCCTGGTGACTGAAGCCTCAAACACGTCCCCAGATGCCTTGATCGTGAAGTTCACTTTCATCATCTTTCTCGGGAGAAATGTCAGGCATGGATTCCACGTCCTGTGGCGAGCTTTCCTCTGCCATCTCGCTGTCCTCGGACTGTCCTCCTTCCTGACCCATGTGCTCATCTTTGGGTTCCGATACCTCTCCTTAAATAGAGCCTTCGGCAGGCGGTTCGACCTTTAACCCCAGACACCTCTCCCTGAGGAGAGCCTTCCGGAGCTTCGGTCTCCATTGGCTCGACGTTCACTCCAGATATCTGTCCCTGAGGAGAGCTTTCCGGAGCTTCCGTCTCCATTGGCACATTGGTCGGCTCGGCCTTTACTGTTGATCCTGAGGCCGGCTCGGAAGTGTCCATCTGAGTGGCCGCGGCCGGCTCATCAATCTCCTCGACCTGTGGACCAGGAAGCCTTTCGATGAACTCTTCAACCAACAGATCTTCATAAGGTCGGGTGTAGAGTTCATTCAACTCTGCCTCCTTCTTCTCGCGCAGTGTCTCGTAAGCCAACAAATCTGCCCTTGCCTTACGGGCGAAGCCGTTTTTGGGACGCTAAAAATCACAAACTAGTCCCATAAGGCTTTATAACCTTTTTGGTAGGTTTCGAAAGTTTTGAAGAAGTTTTTCGAAACCGCTTCATGTGTCATGAGATTCCACTTGAACTTTTACGAATCCTTGTTGTTCCGCGCATGCTCAAACATAGGGTGGGTGGGCGGGAACCTTCCGTGCAGCAAAGTTTGTACGGGGGGTAAGAGAGAGTCGTGTAGAACGCGGGCTCCGGGCCAAGCTGTGTGAAACAGGTTTCAGGCCCGTGAACCCCTGGTGTATCGCCCCAGTGGCACATGGGCAGCTTCTCTCGTGATGGCAGAGAAGAGGACGTTTGATGCTGCATTCGAAGGGCATCTTGCTCATGTTGTGCACCAGAATTCTACGAGCAACTCAAAGCAGCCATGGGAGAGAAGCATTGTGAATGTGCCGAGTGTCTTGCCGAAAGCGTTCTTGGGAAAGGGGCGTCTTGGGAATGTGCTTACTCATACGGCTGCTGCTCCTGTGAAAGCTCCGAGTGGCCCGTCGGCTATAAATCTGACTGCTACTGGAGGCAAGCTGCCACGGAAGGTTGGGCCTTCCTGGATTCAGAGACAATCGGATAACAGACATGCGGCTGTCATGAAGTGGCTTCGGATTTCAAAAGAGGGCGGCGACTTCTTCGGGATCTGTGCTAGAGTGGCGGAAGATGCTGAAGCTGGATTGCCAGCCTCCCTGCAGGAGTCTCTAGGAGATGTTTTCTCACTCAAGGCGAGCAGTACGCTTCACAGCAGGGCTGGCCCGGTCCTCAGATACATGGCATTCTGCTGGCGCATCAGAGAACAGCCTTTCCCTTTGTCTGAGCAGAAGATGTATCGCTTCGTCAAAGAATACTGCAGTGGGGCTGCGCCTACTTTTGCCTCCAGCTTTATGAGTTCCGTTGGCTTCATGCAATATGTCTTGGAGGCGAAGGTCCCGGCCGATTGTGTTAGCAGCAGGCTGGCTGGCGCAGTTTCGAAGCTCTACTTGGAGAAGAGAAAGCTGCAACAGAAGCCGCCGCTGACGGCTTCACAGATTCGGGCTGTGGAGCGAATTGTGCTGGGACTTATACCTGAAGTCCGTACGGATGTCGATAGATACGCGGCAGGGTGCTTTTTGTATTGTGTGTTTGCAAGAGCCCGCTATTCGGACATGCAGTGTTCTGGTGAGCTGGCGAAAGACATCGTGCAAGGTGAAGACGGACCGCGTGGGTACCTTGAAGCGAGGGTCACCAGGAGTAAAACGAGTCACAACCTGGAGCGTAAAACCCGATATCTTGCTATGGTCAGTCCGATATGGGGCCTTGAGCAGGATTCTTGGGCGATGGCTTGGATGGGGGTGGCTGGCAGGGCGGGGCCCGCATGGGGGCCTGACATGCCCCTGCTACCGTCCCCCACCGAGGGTGGCCAATGGCAGAAGGCGCCTATGTCTGCGCAGGCTGGAGCGCGGTGGCTTCGCCACCTTCTCTATCGTGCAGGCGAGGATGTCTCATTGGTCAAGGCCGTGGGCACTCACTCCTGCAAAGCTACGCTTTTATCTTGGATGTCCAAATGGGGAGCTAGTAAGGAAATCAGGTCGATACTCGGATATCATTCTAGTGCCAACGCCGGCACGGATGTGATCTACGCGAGGGACAGCGTCTCCCCTGCATTGCGTGAGCTGGAGGAAATGGTTTCTGCGGTCGCTTACAGGCGCTTCTTCCCGGACGCCACGCGCTCGGGCATGTTTGCGGAGTCCTTGGCTGCCAGGGGAGATGCTCATGACAAGGCCGAGGTCGGTTCAGATTCTTCTTCCGACAGGAGCGATGTCGAGGAGGAGCCGGACACTCTCGAGGAGGAGAAGGTGATTGAGGACAGTGTCGGCGATTTTGAGCCGAGCGGTTGCCTTCGGGAAAACCTGGAGGGCAAGGCGGTTTTTCGGCATGTCACCACCCGCTTCATACACTTAGTCGCTTCTGAGGAGGGCACAACTTTTAAGTGTGGCAGGCAGATCACATCGTCTTACTTGGAGTGCAATGCGATACCCAGGTTTTTGCATCCGATCTGCCGGCAGTGCTTTCCAGAGGCGAGGTGAGGGATCGTAGGCCGGCTGGCTGGAGTGCCGCCATGCGAACTTTTGTGAGCCTCTCATCGCGAGAGCCCGCGAAGGCGGGATGAACATTCGCACGGAATACAAGGAACGCTGTGCTCGGCATTGCAGTGGTCTCAAGAGCCCGGAGTCGCAAATGCCGCCTTGTGATTTCAAGTGAGGGTCGCTCGAGCTACTTTGAAGGTAGACCCGTGCTGAAGGAGTGAGCCATGGCTTCCGCATACTCAGAGTCCGAGCCGGTTCTGGTGTCGCGTCTCTCGAAGGCGGGGTTTGATCAGACTGAGCGCGATCTCATCCTGAAGCACGTTAAGAGTTTGAAGCAGTTGGCCTTCGTGAGCTCTTTTGCTCCGGGGGCTGCGGACGAAGGTCCGTTGATCGAGGCCCTTAAGGCGATGCTTGGAAAGGACCCAGAGATGAGTCAGAAGGCAGCTTTTAGAGCCGTATTTCATGAAGCTTATGCCATTGTCACTTCGGAGATGCGACAGCAGGTCGAAAGGGTCGAGGAACCGACAGTTCGTCATTTGAGTCAGCCCGAGAGGGCTGAGAGAATTGAGCGCCAGCGTTCACAGTTGACTGGCATCACGATAAAAGGTTCCTCGGAACCATCAGAGGCCTTGGTCGACCTGTGCGTCGGTCAGTACGAGGCCAATGTGATTCAGTATGTACCTTGGTCTAAGTGCACGTCGCGGGAACAAGAGCTCCTAGGCGACGGTAAGAAAGACCTGAAGCTTTCGATTGACGGCGAGAGTGGTAAGCTTAAGGTGGAAAACAAGGCCAAAGATCAGGTGGCCGATACATCCACTGAAGTGATGCTTCTGCAGGCCCTGCAGCGGCGTGCTCTTGCATTCGATCAAGCTAACATTGTCTCTTTCACAAAGCTTGACATGTGGCATCAGAAGTTGATGAAGGCGAGGCTGACTCCACCTCCGCCGGGTTACCAGCAAGTCACCTTCACTCAGTTGCAGAATGCAGACTCGAGGCTCTTTCTGGAGCTTCAGGACCATACGCGCACAGGCATCCAGTCGGATGCCAAAGGTCGTCCGATCGATGGCATCATAGATTCAGTCAGCTGCATGCACGAGGTGGTGTCGTTGATGCAGCCGCTACAGGGCGGCCCTTCGTCTTCATACGGTCCCAGTGAGCCTGCTCGACTGCGGGAGTCACCGTATAAAGGCAAAGGCAAGGGCAAAGATGGCAAAGGAAAGAAGCGCTTCGTTGCCATGCCAAGCGAGCTTCGTGGGTGCAATTCGCACACCGCGAAAGGACACCCGATCTGCTATGCCTTTAACCTGGGGTCATGCCCGAACAAGGTGACTGGCAATAAATGTGAGAAGGGATTGCACATCTGTGCAGTCCCCAAGTGCGGCATGAACCGCGCTGCTGTCAAGTGTCCCAAGAAGCCGAAAGATGGCGAGCAGGCGGGCGCTTGACTATCAAGTGCGATCCTGGCCCCGAGTGCGCAAGAGTCGGTGGCCGGGTCTGGGAGTGGCGAAGGCCATTCTCGAGCAATCCAGGAAGTGCTTAAGGCCCATCCCGAAGGGGATGAGCCTCTTTTGAGTGCGCCCGAAGGGGCCCAAGCAATGCCATTTGAAGAGCAGGGATCGAACCCACTCGATCCAAAGGTTCATGCGGACTCTTATGCCGAGGAGCTTCTGTCTTTGGACAGGGATCCCACGGCCCAGGAGTTGATTCGTTTGTTTGACATGCTTCCTCAGGAGCCGCTTTTGAGCAAGACTCGTGACGATGGAGCCGCGGCCTTCTCGACTGGTGCCTACGTGAAGGGGCCTCTGCTCGGTCTCAGGAGTAACTGCAGCAAACATCCGGCGGCTTCAAAGATTTTCGCTCAGGCGGTGCAACGCGCTGCCCCGGGAATGAAATTTTCTACTCTGAGTGTGTTTTCAGACCTTAAGACGGAGCCTCATGTCGACCGCTTCAACTCTCCTTTCCCTAACATTCTTGTGCCACTCAGCAATTTTCGGAAAGGAGAGGTCTGGGTCGAGTCAGCTCAGGGCGTTTTTCCTTGTGAGGTCGATGGTGTTACGAAGCGCGGCATCTTGATCGATGTTGCCTCCGGACCGAAGGCCTTCTATGCTTGCAGCCATGTGCACGCTACACGGCCGTGGAGCGGCCGACGCGTAGTCATAGTTGGATTTTGTATTGCTAGGGTTCAGGAGCTTGACGTGGACTGTAGGGCGTGCTTAGCTGAGCTTGATTTCCCTGTGCCCCAGACGCCGCCCAACTTCAGTCCGGATTTGATCGAGGTCAGGGGTACCTTCCATGACCTCAGAAGTTCTCAAGTGGATGAAGCCTGTGATGCCCTCCCGGCTCAACTGCAAGCCGCCTCTCTGCTGTGCCTTGACCTCTTTTGCAATGCAGGCGAGTTTGGGGCCTCCCTGAAGGCAGCCGGATTCGATGTGCTCGCGATCGAGCAACCGCACCTGAAGCAGAGAGCTCTGCTCAGCGTTGTGTCGTTGGATCTTAGGAGGGCTGCCTCTTGGGATTTCCTAGTTAAGGTTGTGCTCGCTAGGAGGGTCGTCTTTGTGCTTGCCGCCCCCACTGTGGCCGCCTCTTCGGGCGACCTTCCCGAAGGTTTTGCCCAGGTGGCTTCCGAACTCAGCTCTTTCTTGGCGTTGCTCGCCACTCTTGATATCGGATGGGGAGTCTTGAATCCGCTAAGCAGCCGGCTGTGGGCGACTTTGGCGCTGCCTGCCTCGCATGTCGTGAAGTTCGACCTGCTTGCCCATGGTGGCGAGCAACACCAGCAGATGCTGTTGCATACTAACGTCCAGACTTTAAGCGCCCTTGCTGTGCCGTGTGACGACAGTCAGAAACCTCCTAAAACTTTCCGGTCAGTGACTTCCCTGCGGGACAGACCGCGTTTGTTGTGCAGTCGGTTCGCCGCCCAGATAGTTGTTTTCGCGGGGACCCTAGGGTTTGCTGTGTCTCCTGATGCCGTTAAGCCGTCGGCCAATCATCGGTCTTCCATTGCAGTGCAACGCCAACCCAAGGTCTCCAAGGCGCCGCCGCTCATGCCTGAATACAAGCATCGGGTCACTTTGCAGGTTCCATCCATGGATGCTCTCAGGTATGATGCCAAAAATTCCTTGACGGCCGCTTTTCAATCGGTGCCTGTCGGTGCCCGCATCCTTCAGGTGGTGCCTGTGCAAGGGGGCGAGGGTCCTTCAGGTTCGGGCTTTAGGGTTACTTTTGGGGTTTACAGGACCGAGGATGAGTTCGTCAGGACAGCAGTCACTCTGTCCCATCCTTTCGACTTGTCTTCGGCAGTGCCGGATGAGATGCTCGAGATTCTTGCGTTCACTCTCACCAAAGGGCCGTTGGCTGTCATGAGGCATCGCTTGGACACCTTGACGAAATGGAAAAAGTGGTCTCAGGAACTTCGTGGAGCAGAGGCCTCCTTGCACGCGAGGCTTCACCCAGATGTCGAGAAGATAGTTGCACGCAAGAACTTGACCCTCCTGCGACGTGTGGCTGAAGACTTGCAGTGGCCTGATGCCACGATAATCGACGACATCGAGAACGGCTTTGAGCTTGTCGGTGAGGCCAAGGTTACGCATCCATCATGCGTGCGTGAATGGGTTTTATTTTCCGCCGAAAGTGTAGACAAAGTTTGTCGAAAAAGGAAAACAGTGTTTTCACTTGTGTGTGAGTGACACTAGACAAACTTTGCCGTGCAGCTTTCGGCTTGGAGTTGGATCTGTGATCCAAAAAGTTTTTGTAGAGTAGCTTGTAGTGCTCCGCAGCAGTGGGGGTCGTCAGCGACGTCCTTCCACTCCCCTTTTTATAACTGTCAGTGGCAGTTATGGTTGACCAAGCAGCCCGCAATTACGCGGCTGAGTCGCCAGAGGCGCCGTACCCTAGAAGGGACGGTCGAGAGAATCAGTTGGCAGCGCCACAATGTTTGCAACGCGTGCGACAGTGTCGCTCCTGCCTCCGTTTTTTGCAGTGCAATCCAATTTTCGTGCTAGAGCAGGCCATGCGTGAGGAGATGGCACAACAGGAGATAAGTTATCTCCTTTGGGCCATTAGCTGTGCCATGCGGGTAGACCCCGCGGTCGTCAGCGACGACCATGAATCTCTGAACCGCGCAGGGGAAGGGGAGTCCAAAGTTTGGCCTCCCTTTTACCCTTTCGCGCAGATGCAAGGGGAACAACCGGACACCTCAGGCAGTGCCTATCCGATGCACCGGTATACCATGTCGCAGCGCGACGTGCCTATGCGGCCAGCGGCCACACCTGGCTGGCCGTATACTGGCCTTTTTGACTGGCCCCCCAGTGGGGAGGAGGATAATGTGCCCAAACTCCAGTGGAGACTTAATTGGGTGGACGCCCTAGAGGGCCACGTGGCCACCAAGGTGGAAGCCAGCGGCTTCCATTGGCACCCAGAGGGTAAGGGCAAAGGCAAGGGCGGTTGGATTAAGATAATCCCTTCGGAAAAGAAAAAGAAGAAGTCTCACAAAGTTGCCAGCGGCAGCACCGACCCTACCGCCTCGTCCAGTACCGCTCTGCCGACAGCGTCGGCAGCGGCCTCGGACCCTCCCTTACCGCCGCCAGCGGCCGCTCCTGCTAAGCCCGCTGCGGCCACAACAGGCAGCCCGCCCGCAGCCGCAGCTGCCGACGTCGCTCCGCCAGAGGCGGAGCCTGTCATTGAAGTTATCGATACTGACAGTGATCAGAACTCGGGAGACTCCGAGGTATCCCTGGCTAGCAGCCAGGCCGCAACGGCAGTGCCGTTCGCGCCCAACGCGAACACTGTGGTCGTGTCCCGACCGCAGCGTCGCAATCGCCAGCGGGGCTGGCAGTTCCAGCCCGGGGAGGACCCCCAAAATAACGATTGGCGCAACCTGGGGTCAGCGACCGACAACAGGTACCCTGGCCTCCGTGCGTTAGTGACGCACGCCAGGAGGGTTTCTCCGCAGTTGCACGTCACAGACGTGCACGAATGGCCCTATTGGGCACAACCCAACTCAGAGAGATGGGATAGGTACCCGGAGAGGCGAGGCGACCTCATGTGCTGTCTGCCCTGCGCGCAGCAGGGCTGCATTTCCCAAGGTATGGCAATTTGTGGGCGGCACTGCTCAGTGGGCAGGAGCCCCCACAATCATCACGAATGCGACAACTGCTACCGCAGCAGCCGGGGTCAGCGACCCCGAAACCACGGCGCCCGTGGCGGTCGCCGCTAGGCTCTGAGCGCAGCGCGCAGCTGCTGGCTTCTCAGTGAGTCGCCCTAGTCACTTTTGGTGCAGCGCACCTCTTTTTGCTTCGCCGCCGACAGTTCGGCAGCCTCTGCAGGGCGGGCGTCTCCGAGGTTTTTGGAACCTCGCCCACAGCGGCGAGCCGACGGCATTATTTGAAATGCGGCAAAAGTTTGCCGCTCGCCTTTTTCAGTCGTGTGTCACGCGAGCCTGGTAGGTCTCTCCAGCTGAGTCAGCTCTTTGAACCGTGTCGGTTTTCAAGCAGTGCTTTTCTTCCGCAGCCTTTTCAGCTTAGTAAGTCGCCCCCTTCGTGCCTTCAGCTAACAGCCTTTGTATGCTATCAGCGATGGCGAACCCAACGAACGAGCAGATGCTGCAGGCGCTCAGTGCAGTGCCGGAGGCCCAGAGGGCCGCCATCTACGAAGCCGCCGTCTCCCTATCAGAGATAGGGGACGTGGTGGTAAATGCGGCGGAGGCAGCGGAACTCGCCGGCTGGACCAAGCCCGCCAGTGGCGGCTCAGAGGCCAATGCCGTCGCCCTTCAGCGACTTCTTTTGGGCTACGAGCCCCCAGTGGTTCCTGCGAACACCGAGCCGCCAGCGGCGGCCCGTGGTGTGTCTTCCGAAGACCACCGCAGCGCGGTGGCAAACGCGTCTCCCACGTCGGCCGCAGCGCCGGCCTCGCAGCGCCGCTCCCCGACCAGCCCCGCTGAGGAAGCGGGCTCGGGCGTCAAAGAAGAACCGCTTCCAGCGGAAGCTCCCTCGGCAGCGCCGGAGGATATGGATGTGGAGGAGCCCAGCGGGCGGCGGGATGAAACCGAAGATGACCAAGGCTCCCGCTCGGAAGAGTCGGAGTCGGAGAGCGACTCCCCGCCACCGCCAGCGCAGCCGCACCCTCCCCTTCAGGGCAAGGTGGCGCGCAAGTCCTCCAGCCCGGCAGTGCCGGCAGCTGACAGGGATCAGGCGCCAGCGGCGCCCCCGAAGGCCTCCGCCCCACGCCAGAACAAGCGGCCTCCCCCGCCGCCAGTGGCGCGTCGTGGGGAGAGCTCTCGCCCGCGTCCCTGTCAGCAGCCCCCGCGCAACAACCCAGCTGGCGTCGCTGGGACCCGGGCCAGCGGCCCGGCGTCAGATGACAACGCTGATCGAGACGATCAGGAAGCTCGCCCGCCAGCGGCGGAGCGTCCCCGAGCGGGGGAGATTCAGCGAGTCTTCGCATGTTCAGTCTGCGACAACATGCAGATGAACATTTGGAGCGATCCGTCTTCGGAATTCGTATGCAGTGCATGCGGAGAGCTCCACCCCTTCGTGGCTGCAGTGCATGCCTACGATCAGCCTAGCGCCAGTGGCGCTGTGGGACAGTTTTCCCACGAGCGTCGCAGCAAGGCCTGGCAGTGTCCAGAGTGCGGCGTGATGCATTGCACACGCTGCGCGAAAAATTACTCTTGCCCAGGCACTGTCCCGCGGACAGACGGCAAGCTCGAGTACCGTGGCGAGCGCCGCCCTACCAGGGGGCCGCCCGAGTCCCTTCGGCTGACCTTGCAGCGCGAGGCAGCCGAAGCCCGTGAGCGCGAGCACCGCGAACGGGAGTCCCGCCGCAGAGACGGCAAGGGCAAAGGCAAAGGCAAGGACCAGAGGTCCCGCCGTGACGACGAGGACCGGGACCAGTGGTCCCGTGGTCGCTGGTCCTGGGACCACGACCGACGCTGGAACCATCGCGAATGGTAGATACGCCAGCGGCGTAATCCAGCGCATTCCGAACAGTGTTCGGATAAATTTTTTGACGGGCCAGTGGCCCTTCCGTCTGCGCCCTTTTTCACACAGGTGCAGAGCACAGCAGTGCCGGCACAGTCCGGCCACAAGAGCCTTCGCTGCTCACCGGCCTGTCTGCGGATCGCAGAAGGCAGGTGCAGCGCACCTCGACAACCGGGCTCCGCCCAGAGACTCGCATCGCGAGGTCAATAAAAAGAACACCGCAGGTTGCGTGTGCACACAGACCTTGTAGGACTGAAGCTTCTTTTGCCTAGTAGGCTCTTCTTGCCTAGTAGGTTTGTGCGCAGTGCCCCGAGACCTGGTAGGTCCTCAAGAGGTAACTCTAAGCGCAGTGTCACCATCTGAGCCTGCGCTCTTCAGTGCGTTTTTACCGCAGCCTTTTAAGCCTCACTCTTCCCAGCTCTCTCCTTTCCTTCTCTCCTCCCTCAGGACTGAATGGGGAGGGTGCGGGTCGCAGCGCGTCGCTTGAATTGAGCTTTTCAGAGTGAGTGCACTTGTGTTCGTGTGCTGGTAGCCTTTTCTTGAAAGCCACCTGGACAACAGCCGTTGGCTTGAGCAGTGCTCCCCTTCCTTGTGTCAAGGATGCTGCCCAGGGGCAGCGCCCCAGAGGGCGATTTCAACGACCAGGTTAGTAACCTTTGGTCGTCTATACCACGCCGAGCCGGTGCTCGTCAGCCGTGGGAATCAGCTTCATGGTTTGCGCGCAATGCAAGCTGGCCCTGGGAGCTGTCAGTGACTCGCCCCGCCTCCGTGGGCCCCGTGCCAGTGTTGCACGAGTCAAGCCTGATGCTTAAGCGGAAAGCTTCCGCTAGCACCCAGCCGCTAGTAGCGGAAGACACGGCCTTCGCACTTAAGGTGTGCTGCCGTCGTACAGCGTACGAAGGCGACCGCCGCGATAGCGCGGTTTTCAAACTGACGGCTTTGGTAAAAGCCTGGCCAGAGGCCTTCGAGATCGTCTCACAGTGTGCTGACGAAGCCGGTTGCGTCGACCTGGACGAGCTCGACTTCAGCATAGAGGCAGCGCTCAGCTACAAAGCCACCAACACAGTGGTTCGTCGTCTGAACTCCCTCAGCAATTTTGTCCAGTGGGCAAACTGCCAAGACCCAGTGGTGGTGCCCTTCCCAGTGTCAGAGCGCGCCACCTGGCGATACATCCAGTGGATGATGAGGAATGGGAAAGGGGCTAGCAGCCCCTCTAGCCTGATTCAGAGTCTGAACTGGTGCTCGGGAGTTTTCGGTCTTTCCTTCGAGTCGGAGGTGACCAGCTCCCGTATCGTGGGCCTTTGTAAGAGCACGGAAGCCAGCGCGCCTCCGCCGAGACGGGCCCCCGCCCTTAAGGCTTCGGAGGTGGCTACTCTCGAGCGCATCGCGCTGTCTGGCTCTGTGTACGACAGTGTCGTGTCTGGGGGCTTGTTGTTCATGCTCTTCGCATGCGCCCGTGCCAGTGACGCGGCCCGAGTTGCCTCCTTTTCAGTTGAGCTTCCAGAGGACCCCTGCGCCACAGTGTGGATGCAGGCGAATGTTCACAAGGCGAAAACCGCCGTAGGGGCTAGAAGCCGCCTGCTGCTCCCGCTGGTAGCCCCGGTGGTTTTCTTCGAAGAGTCTTGGGTGAGTCAGTGGCTCGCAAATCGAGAAAAGTTGGGCCTCAGCTCCAGTGGAGATATCCCGCTCGGGTCAGTGATCCCTGCATTCACATCTGATGGTGATCTAGCGGATCGCCCGATGAACTCTCAAGAGATTACCTCCTGGCTGCGCAGCGCGCTGTCCAACGCCGGCTGCGAAGACGCAGAGCGCCTTAGCAGTCACAGTCTCAAAGCGACTTGCCTCACGTGGGCCTCGCAAGCTGGCGTCAACCTGGATCTGCGCAGGCTCCTCGCCCACCATGTGCACGACAGTGCTCGGAGCACCGAGACGTACAGCCGTAACGTGCTCATCCCCGCAGCGCGGGCTCTGGAGGAAGTTCTCATTGCCATCAGAGATGGCGACTTCCTTCCCGACCAGCCGCTCGGGAAACAATTCGCGCTGCCAAGCAGCCAGCTCAACCTGAGGCGAGAGAACCTTAGCAAGGTTTCTCACCGGAAAACCTCCTCTGGCTCGGCACCCCCAGTGGGGGTGGAAGCCCTGAAGGTTTCGCAGCAGCAGGAGCTCAGCGACACAGAGGACAGTGCCAGTGACACTGACAGAGAAGACGAGTTCGTCGCCGAGCCCGAGGTAGAGGAGCACCCTCGCCTCAGAAGGGAGGTGCAGTGCACTCTCCCGGACTGGGCCGTCTCGTGGTGTCATCTTGCCAGTGGCAAGCTCCACGCGAGTCGCGGTGAGAATGCCAAGAGGCTTCTCTGTGGTCGCTGTTTGAATGAAAAGTATAAGAGTTGCGAAGTTCGCGACCTGGCCCCGGGCCGGCCGCACTGCAAGACGTGCTGGAGCAGCAAGTCTTTCGATGCAGAGTGAAAAGAGAGCGAGTTCTTGCGCCTGTCTATCCTAGTAGGGTCCCGCAGTCGGCACAGTGTGTGTGTCTCTCTCTCTCTGTTTTCTTCTCTTGCCCTGCAGGACAATGGCAAACCTCGTCGACAGCGTCGCGGAATTCTCCAGCAGAGCTGGACAGCTCCTAGGAGCCGCCGAGTCGGCGAAGCTCCTTGCGGCAGACATCCGCACCTTCGGCACGCTCGCTTACAGCGTCGCCGACCAACCCGATCGCATCAGCGATGCGAAGTTTGAAGAACTCATCAAGAAGGTCTTCGGGGCGGCAGAGCCGACCTTAGGCACCAAGGCCGCAGCGCGGCGCCTGGCCTTCGAAAGCCTCACCTTCAGTATCCAGGATCTGAAGATGAGGGTCGAGGGTGACAGCGTCACCCCAAAGAGCCTGCCCCTGCACGAGCGCGAGGAGCGCCGAGCCGCGCAAGTTGCGCGCCTCAAGGGCGTCGTCATCGAAGGTGACTACGACCCCGCGAATAGCCTCGTGGACAAGGCCGCGCTCATGCTGCAGGACGGCATCGTCCGTTACATCCCGCCGTCGCAGTGCGTCAGCCGGGATGCAGAGATCGCCTCAGTGAGGCGTGACAAGGACTTCCTCTCCCTAGAGTCTGGGGAGATCACGGTAAAGAAAAAGGAGCACAGCGTGCACGTGGAGATCGGCAATGAGCTAAAGCTCACGCAGGCGCTGACGCGCCGAGGTCTCGCGCTCGACAGAGTCGGCGTGTTGGATTTCACAATTCACGAGAGACTCGTGA